AGGCGACGTCCCTCCTTGCTGGCTTCGGTGGCCGCCACGTACTCCGACTCGGTCGACGACAGCGTTGCACACTTGATGCGCTGGCTCGATCACGAAACTGCGGCCCCTCCATAGACGAACATGTGCTTGTCCTCTTCTGCTTGTCGCCAGCATCGTCAGCGTCCACATAGTCGACCAGCTCCAGCAACTCTGGTCCACTACCGAACTCCAGGGCGGTGTCGCGGGTGTTGGCGAGGTAGGCGAGGCAGCGGACGACCTCGCACCAGCGCTGGTCGCTCCTCACCGTGAGGCCGCTCCCCAACTTGCTGCAGGCAAAGGCAATGTCCGGCCTCGTCATTGTCGCCGTGAACTGCAGCGAGCCGACTTTCTGCAAGTACTCCTCCTCCTGTCACTCCTGTGCCTCCTGTCGCGTAGGCGTCGACCGAGACCGGCGTCTTGGGGGTGCACCCGGTCTGCTCCTCGTCGAGGAGCCACCTACGCAGCTTGTCGGCGTAGCCCTGCTGGTACAGCCATAGCTTCGTTGCCGGCTTGTCGCGCACAATCTCCAGCCGAAGGTACTTCTGCACCGGCGAGATCTCCTGCAACTCGAAGAAGGCCTCCAGTAGCACCTTCAGCTCCTTCAGGATCTCGGTACTACTGCCGGCGGCGAGCAGGTCGTCGACGTAGACCAGCACCAATCAGGCCTTGAAGTAGAGTGCCAAGTTGATCTGGCTCCTCTTCCAGCCGGCGCCGACCAGCACGTCGTTGAGATCTTTGTACCACAACAGTGGCGACTCCTTCAGCCCGTAGAGGCTCTTTAGCAGCTTACACACCCAGCCGGTACCGTCGTTGAAGTAGTCTGGCTGGTACATGTAGAGCACCCGGTCGAGCTTGCTCTGCAAGAAGGCATTCTTCATATTGAGCTGCATCAGGTTGAGGTTGAGGACGACGACGATGCTGAGAAAGATCCTTAGCGTGACGTAGCTGCTTACCGGTGCGTACGTCTCGTCGTAGTCGGCGCCATACACCTGCGTGAAGCCCTTCACGACCAGCCTTGCCTTCTCGCGATCGACGGTGTCGCCGATGTGGTAATTCGTCGTCAACACCCACCGGTTCTTCATCATGTTCACCACGGGTGGGCGTTCGACCAACTCCCAAATCCCCATGCCGATGAGGCTGCGGATCTCCTCTTCCATGGCGGCCTTCACCGCCTTGTCCTCCCAGCTCGCCAACGCCTCCTTCACCGTCATCTTCGAGATGTCCCAACGGTGCTCGGGGTCGGCGTGCATGTCGGGGTCGAGCTGCGGCAGCTCGTCATCGTCCTCAGCATCATCCTACGCTAGGTCATTGTCGTCCACGTCGTACACCATGGTGAAGACAGCGGGGACGAAGAAGTCAGGCTGCCTCCGAAGTTGGCCCGTACGCCGTGGTCCACCCTGGACTTCCACCACATCGTGGTCGGTGGACTCCTCGGCGTCCCCTCCATCGTCACCGTCGTCGCTGCCCTCAGTATCCTACTCCACCACGGTCGGTGTTTCCGGCCAGCTTCTCCCTGCGGTCGGCTCACTTATCGACTGTTCGGTCGCCAACTGCTCCGTGGTCGACTTCGCTGCTGCCAACTCCCCTGTCAGCTGGTGCACTTCCTCGGCCTGGTCCTCCCTTGCCGTTGTCGGCTTCACTCTCACGTCTACTGGCTGGACGTCACGTCGGCCACTGGCGATGCTCTTGGCTGGCGCCACAGGCGACGTCCCACTTCTCCCCTTATCGCCGGAGGCCGACGTCGGAGTCAGCCGACGCAGGCCGGCCACAAGGGGAGGGGCAAGAGGGGCAGGGCAGGGGGAGGGAGAGGAGACATCCTCGACGTCCTCAACAGCAGGCTCATCGACCTCGACGAGCAGAAGGAGCGTTGCCGTCGAGGTCTCCGTAGGCGGGGTGGTCGACGTCTGCCCCGACGCCGGCCCTTGGTCCGACTTCCACACCTCCAACGACATGTTCTCGTAGAACACCACAGCCGAGGTGGTGACCACCCGGTTGTCGGCGATGTCGAGGAGCTCCCAGCCCTTGCTCTCCTTCGACACGCTGAGATGAAGGCCCCGCCGAGCCTTTGGTTGCAGCTTCCCACCACGCTGCAGCTCGGAGACGAGGAACTACGCCATGCAGCCCTACACGTGTGCTAGCGACAAGTCGGGCTTCTTCCCGATGAGCAGCTGGTACGGTGTTGTCCGCGGCGGCAGTGTCGACCTCTGAAGGCAGTTGCGGACCCAGACGGCCTGCCGTAGAGCGAGGTGCCACCAGTGGTGCTGCACGCCCATGTGTAGCGGCATCGTCCGCACCGACTCCACCACCGTCCTGAACTCCCTCTCCGCCATGCCGTTCTGCTGCGGGGTGTACGGGCAAGTCAAGTCGTGGACAATCCCCTTGTCGTTCATGAAGTCGGTGAGCTGCTTCCGGAGGAACTCCCCTCCCTGGTCAGAATGCAGCATCAAGACCGACTTCTTCGTCTGTCGCTCAGCCACCGCTTGCCACTACACGAACTCCTGCAGCGCATCCGACTTCTTGGCGACCGGCATCACCCACACGTAGCGGGTTTTGCGGTCTTTCAGCAGCAAGAAGTACAGGCATCCATCCTTGGCAGCCACCCGGAATGGCCCGCACAGGTCAACGTGCACGACGGCCAGCACGTCGTCGGCGTCGGAGCCCTGGTCGGGGAAGGTGTGCCGCGCCTGCTTCCCGCCAACCCAAGAGACACACGATGAGTCGGCGCCCAACGCCGACTTGAGGTCCAGCCCAGTGGGGACCTCGTGCTTCGCCGAGCTCTGTATGGTGTCCATGCCGACGTGCACAAGCCTCGCATGCAGCCTATCCGGCGTCGAATTTGTCGCCGAGACGATTGCCTGCAAGGCCACGACCTCCATCGGGGGCGTTGTTGACCTCGTCGAGCAGGGACGCAGGTCGGTGCAGAGGACTCGCCCGGTGTAGGACGCCCGACCAAGGACGTCTCCCGCCGCCGAGACAAGCAACATCCTGTTGCCGTCCTCCTGCAGCTTCACGGCGTTCTCCTTCAGCTGGCCGGCCGAAAGCAGGATCGCTCGCACGCCCGGGATATAGAGCACGTCGGGGATGAGCACCTGCTTCCTAGCCTCCCCTTGCAGAGCGACAGTGCCACGGCCCTAGACGTCCTGCAGCGCCCCATTAAGGCCGCGGACGTGCTTGACGTCGCCACTCGGCTGCAGGTCGACGAAGATCTCCTTCGTCCCCATCAGGTGGTGCAAGCAGTCGTTGTCGAGTAGGACCACTGCCGGATTCGCCTGCACAGGACCATCAGGACCGCGTGCCAGTACGACTTGATCGACCGCGCTCTAGCAGAGCAAAGTCGCGGCTTGCCAACGTTGCAGGTACACGGCGTGCCAACGCTGCAGCAAGTCGGTTGTACAGCGTTGCAACCGCAGAACAATGGTGCAACCGGGAATGATTGGATTAGCAAGAGTTGGGTACAAGTACTAACCCTAGAAGTGTTGTACCCCATAAGGAGTGCCCCACTATAGCCTACAAGTAAGATTGTACTTTGACACACCCCTATAGGCTAAGTGGGGGACAACAAGACGGTCACAAGACCAGTCAAGCAAGACAACAGAGCAAAGCAAAGCAAGGCTCAGGGTGGATCTCAAGGACACCACACAATCCGAGCACAAGCAAGCGGCCACAAGGCCAATTCACATGCAGAGTTATAATAGCAAGGCAGTAGACTGATCACAACCTAGCAAGATAAAACATGCAGGTATAAATATAGATAGCAGTGTAGAATAAGTGCAAGATCAAGAGACAAACAGGTGACGTAGAACGGGCAGAAGCCCAAGAGCAGTGCAAAAACGCTGAAGGTCACCAGACCCGAGGGCCTTGGTGAAGACATCAGCAGTGTTGGCCTGAGAGGCCACATAAGAAAGACGAATCTGACCACGCTGCTGCAGCTCTCGAGCAAGAAAGTAGCGAAGAGCTATGTGCTTCGTTCTGTGCTCCTGACACAAGAAAAGCATGGCCTTGTTGTCGACGTACAGAATTGGAGGAGAACGAGGCCGCTCCCCCAAGTTGATCAGCAGGTAGGTCAGCCAGCGTAGCTCCTATGCAGCCATGGCCCCAGCGTAGATCTCGGCCTCGCAGCTGGAGCTAAGCACACAAGAAGAACGAGTGGACCTCCACGAGACAGAACCAGAGCTAAGACTGAAGGTGTAACCCTGTGACGAACGCTGAGTTGCATGGTCATCGGCCCAAGAAGCGTCGGAGTGTCCTGTGGGTACCACTGAACCCTGTCCTCCAAGCACAAGCCCCATGCCTAATGTACTACACAAGTAACGAAGTGCCTTCTTCGCAGCATCAAAGTGCACCTTTTGGTGTCTACCAGGTGCCACGCAGCGAGCCAAGAGGCTGAGAGGGTACGTGAGGTCAGGTTGTGTGCACGTCATCAGGTACATAAGGCAACCCACAAGCTCTGGGTACGGACCACTTGGCTCTACGGACTCATCCGAAGGTGGAGCTGAGAGCGAGTGGCCGATAGACAAAGGAGTGGGTTGTGGCGAGGAGTACGTGAAGTCGAAGCGCCCAAGGACCTGGTGCACCATGTATGATTGAGTCATGGTGATGGTGCGCCGTGCTCTGTCTTGGGTGATCTGCAAGCCAAGATAGCTACGCATCTCACCCAGGTCTCTGCAGGTGTGTCTCTCCTGCAGCTCCTCCTTCACTAGGGCCGGTGCCTCAGTGTCAGCAGTAGCAAAAACCAAGTCGTCGACGTACACGAGAACGTAGAACGACAGCAGGGTAGGGTCGGTGCGTAGAAATAGCGACGGGTCAGCAGAGGAAGGAGAAAACCCAAGAGCCGCAAGTGTAGTCCTCAGTGTGTCGTGCCACTCTCGGGGCGCCTGGCGGAGACCGTAGACTGGCCGCCAGAGGCTCCACTAGGTACCCGGAGGAAAAGACCCAGTGAAACCAGGTAGGTGGCGCAGCCAGATCTCCTCGTAAAGGCCTTCCTACACTGTGGAGAAGTCGAGGGAGTGCAGCTCGTAGTCACGATGTGCTGCAACGTGCAGCAGCACCCGAATAGTAGTCATCTTCGGGGTGGGGGAGAAGGTCTGGAATAAGTTGACCCCCTGTTGCTGACAGAAGCCTCGAGCAATGTAACGCGCCTTGAAGGCAGGCGGAGAACCCGGCGGCCGCTTCCCTCTGAAAATCCACGTGCCAGGAGGAACATCGTCGACATAGGTGCCTGTGGACTTCCAGGAAGCCATCTCTGCGTTCGTGGCTGTCTGCCACTGAGAGGAGTAACTCACTCGCGATCGCCTCAGCGTAAGAGCGCAGGGTGGGGATGTCAAGTGCATCCGGGTCTCCCTCAGGACAAAGCAGCTTGGATGTGAAACGAGGTAAAGCGGCTGCAAGACACTCAAGCTCAAACTGCCTGTCCTCAAGGACGTCACGACTAAGGGTAGGCTCACCCTTGACGGACGGAGGACAGACAGACTCTGACTCGGTAACAAGACTCGCGACGTAGTCGAGACGACTCCTAGCTGCAAAGTCGACCAGCTCGGTGACTAGGGAAAACACTGTAGTAGACTCAAAGTCAGGGTCAGTGACGACAGTAGCGAGGAGATGAGTGACAGTAGGACTGGCAGCACGAGCAAGGTCGGACTCAGGGTCAGGAACATGCGGAAGAGAGGACACGGGAGGCCCAGGCAGGACAACCCGCTGTGGAACGAAGGAAGAACGAAGTGCCATACCGTGAGTGCCTAGGACAACAGGAGGACGAGGACGAGCGACACGACGAGCACGAACAGGTGTGGAAGCACGAGTCTCAGGCTCACGACGCTCAGTGAGGGACCTAGTCACCTCAGTGTGAGGAGCAGGAGCAGGCAGCGGGGAGCCAGGCAGTAGTTGTGGCTGAGACTGGTCTGTCGGTGGACACAAGAGAGGTGGAGTGAGGCCAGTGGAAGACGGGAGACTAAGAACCTGGTGAAGGACCGAGTCAGGCGGCAGTAGGGACGACTGCGGCTGCGGGCAGAAAAACAGTCGGCGCGGGGCAGGACCAGCAGCTCCACTAGCACCTCCAGCACCTCTAGCACCAGCAGCACCACGAGCTCCGGAAGCGCCAGCACCTCTAGCACCAGCAGTACCTCCAGCACCTCCAGTGCCATTAGCTCCAATAGCACCTCCAGCTCCTCTAGCACCAGCATCACCACCTGCTCCGGCACCTCCAGCACCAGCAGCATCAGTACCTCCAGTGCCTGCAGCTCTAGTAGCACCTCCAGCACGAGAAGCACCACCAGCTCCGGTAGCTCCAGTACCTCTAGTACGAGCACCTCCAGGACCAGCAGCTCCCGCAGCTCCAGCACCAGCACCTCCAGCACCAGTAGCTCTAGTACCCCTAGGACCTCCAGCACCAGCAGCACCACCAGCTGCGGCAGCTCCAGCACCTCCAGTACGAGCACCTCCACGCCCAGAAGCTCAAGCACCTCCAGTACCTCCAGCTCTAGCTCCTCCAGCACCAGCAGCACCTCCAGTACCTCCAGCACCAGCAGTACCAGCACCTCCAGTGCCAGCAGCTCCAACACCTCCAGCACCAGCAGCTCCAGTACGAGCACCTCCAAGACCAGCAGCTCCAGCACCTGTAGCACCTCCAAGACTAGTAGCCCCGGCACCTCCAGCACCAGCAGCACCTCCAGTACCTCCAGCACTAGCAGCTCCAGTACCTCCAGCACCAGTAGCACCTCTAGTACCAGCAGTACCTCCAGGACTAGCAGCTCCAGCACCAGCAAGACCGTACCCTCCACCACCAGGACTGCCTCGCCGAACGATCCACGCACGAATCGCCTGCGGCGAGAGCGTCTCAAGTAGATCAGGCTGCGGTGGCTGTCCAACTCCAGGATCTCCAGCAGGGTCACCCACAACTCCACCGCCACTAGGACTCGCAGCACCCCCAAAGTCAGCACCCCCACTCGCAGCACCCCCAGAACCCCCAGAACCAGCACCCCCACTCGCAGCACCCCCAGAACCAGCACCCCCAGTCGCAGCACCCCCAGAACCCTCACCCTCTATCTCAGCATCCCCAGGCTCAGCACCAGCAGTCTCAGCTCCAGAGTCCACAGCAGCAAGCTGCGGAGGCGGCGAAGACGGCCGAGGCGGAAAACCGGGGGGGGGGTCTCCAAGCGTGGAGAGCGGCGAGTGGCCGCCGTGTTGTTAGCGGCGGGGTCACCCCCCTCAGCTGGGCCAGAGGAGTCAGAAGAGATCTCCAAAGGCTCAAGCAAGGGGGGTGGGTCTACCTGAGACACACCTGAGGGAGCAGGACCCTGTGGGGGGAGGGGGTCTACCAGGGGGGGGGGGGGGACTGGTACCGAGAAAAGAGGCGCTAGGGGGACTGGGTAGGACGCGTGCGGGTGTAGCCTGTAGAAACAGACAGACTCGTCAAATGTGACGTCCTGGGAGGAGAAGACTCAACGCGAGCACGGGTGGTAGAACTGTCACGGCGGGGCGCCGGTGGGGAAGCCAAGGAAGACACAGCGGAGAGTGCGGGAGGAGAGCTTGCTCGCTTTGGCATGGCGAACAAGGGAGAGCGCGCCCCAGACCCAAAATACCGATGCATCGCCAACCTTTCCCGTCCACGGGAGTGTAGGCGAGGTCTCTAGCTCAGAGACACAAACGCAAACGTATCGGACCGCAAACGGCCACAGAAAATTAAGAGCAGCTGCATGGATCATGGAGGTACGAGCAACCTCCATGATCAAGCCAATGCGACGCTCAGCAATCCCATTTTGCAAAGGAGAGGCCAAAAGCGTGAACGACTGGTGGATGCCCTCGTCTCGACAAAACTCTGCAAGGAGGTGAGAAGAGAACTCACCGCCCCTGTCAGAGTGCAGACGCAGGACTGGCAAGTCCCGACGAAACCGCTCGTGCAGCTGGCGATGAGTAGCACGGATCCATGGGATCAAAACACCACGTCCACCTTGAGCCGCAAGGGGAAGACAGTTGTGTAACGTGTGTAGTCGTCAACAACCAGCACGAAGTAGCGCTCCTGGTTCGTTCCACTGACGGGGGTCGGGCCCCAAACGTCCATGTGGAGAGTCTACAGAGGAGCAGTGGTCAGAGGAAACTCGGAGGAGTGAGAAGCGGCGTGCTGCCGCCCCTCAACGCAGGGAAGGTACGGCGGGGCAGGCATGCGCGGGAGGGAGGGCAAGGACCCAGGAAGGCCAGAGAAAAGGAGACGGGCATGCATGTTGCGGAGACGCGGCAGGGAGGGGTGTCAGAATGTTATGCGCTAGCATGTAGTGGGGTGCTCTTTAGCGAGTACAACCCTTCTAGGGTTTGCTATTTGTATCCTCATTCTTGCTAGTGCAATCCTCTTCTCTCTTCTAAACTTTGACATGCTATCAGAGCAGGTCGATCCCCTTGGATCGATCCTGTGGGTGGGCTCACCACCTCGTTGCTTCCGCTGCAACTGCTACTGCTACTCTCTGTGCCGCACGCCCCGTGGCGTGTGGCGGATTTTCTTCCTGCCGTGCGCCCCGAGGCGCGCGGCGGTTTTCTGCCCGCCGTGCGTCCTGAGGCGCACGGCGGTTCTCTGCCCGCTGTGCGCCCCAAGGCGCGCGGCGGGCTCCTGCCCTGTCACTCGCCGCGTCGCCCTCGGGAGGCGCTGCGACGGGCGACGGGGACCCGCGCGTCGCCCCTCCGTCGCCCGTCGTGGCCTGCGCGCGGCCCGTACTGGCTGCGCGCGGCCTGTACGGGCTGCGCCAGGCCCGGACGCGGCCCGTACGGGCTGCGCCAGGCCAGCGCGCAGCCCGTACGGGCTGCGCCAGACCAGCGCGCGGCCCGTACGGGCTGCGCCAGACCCGCGCGCGGCCCGTACGGGCGGCGCCAGGCCCGCGCGCGGCTCGGGCCGCCTGCGCGCGGCTCGGGAGGCTGTCCCAGGCCCGTGGGCGGCCCATTCCTCGCTGCCCCTGCCCTCCCCACTGTCCCCGGTGCTTCTTATGGCGCCCCACCCCTCCTACAGCCCGTTTTCCTACATTAGGGTTTGGGGTGTGGTGGGTATGGGGGTGCAGCTACTGTGTGCCGTTCCCTGCTCCTCCTCCTCCTCCGTCTCCCTTTGCTGCAGCTGCCGCTGAGGGGGGGTGGACTTGTTGGAGCCGTTGGAGTGGTACTAAGGGGGGGTGAAGGGGGAGTGGAGCTAGGGGTGTAGCAGCGAGTGTGTGTCAAGGGGGGTGGGAATGTTTGGGGAAGCTGAATGGAGGTTGTCGTCGTGTCGCCAGCAGCACCTGTAGTCCGGGGAGTTGCTCCGGTAGCCCAGTCGCAGCCACCTGTGCCAGTCGCCCGTGGGTCCGTTGCTCGTCTGTCGCTACTTTAGCTGCGGGGCCAGTTACTCCAGTAGTCCGGAGAGTTGCTCCGGTAGCCGCTGTGCCAGTGTGCCTCCTGTTGCCCGTGTGTTTGCAGCTTCAGCCGTCGCCTCCTATCTCCTCTCCTCTCACTGTCCCTCCTCCTCCTCACTTGCCCGTTGTGACTACCACTAGCTTTGCTCATAATTGTTAACTTTTAAACTATTGCTTCTTGAACCTGTGCTCAGAATGTGTGGTGACATTGTGATCCACCCTGAGCTTGTACTGCTTTGCTTGCTCTGCTGATTACACCCCACTTTGGCTATGGGGGTGTGTCAGAATGTTATCTTATGCTCTAGCCTGTAGTGGGGTGCTCTATAGCGAGTACAACCCTTCTAGGGTTTGCTATTTGTAGCCTGTAGTGCAATCCTCTTCTCTCTTCTAAACTTTGACAAGGGGTGACCGAGACGGTAATGCCAGAGGAGAGTCTGGTCGGAGAGTACTCGACACGAGCAAGACGCTGCAAGCTGACCAGACGCAGACACCTGACTCGACGCAGCCACCTGACCTGCCTCAGCCACCTGTGCAGGCGCAATGGTCAGTGTGTACAGACTAGACCCAGACCGTCGAGTCAACGTAGCAAGGTGACGACCAGTTCAGGAGCACGTACAGATCGCCACACGCTGCCCTCCAGGAAAAAAGGTATCAACCCAGACAGCCTGAATGGCAGCGTTGCTCACCAAGTTCCCCGAGAACGTGGGGAGGTGGAGACCTGACAGAGAACCGGAGGGGACTGCTGGACACGCGAGGACAGTGGAGGCTCGTGCGATTACTGGGCCCCTAGTGGGGTCAGCCAGTGAGACTGGTACCGGTGCAGCAAGTGGTGTGAGTGTGGTGCAGTCACAAAAGAAGCGACATGACGCGCCTGAGTCAAGTGTGAAAGTGTGCAAGGCCTTAGCTGAGGCAGGACCTGTGGCGGGAGACCCACGAGCACCTAAAGCTGTAGCAGACTCACTAGCATCTGGAGCGGCAGCAGACTCACTAGCACCTAGTGCGGCAAAAGACTCACTAGCACCTAGTGCAGCAGCCTCGACAGAACCATGTCAGAATGTTATTCTCTAGCCTGTAGTGGGGTGCTCTATAGCGAGTACAACCCATCTAGGGTTTGCTATATGTATCCTCATTGCTGCTAGTAAAAGACCGCTCTTTTGCCTAAACTTCTCTTGCCTAGCTAGGACTTACCTAGCTATGGCTCCTAGCTCTACCTACTATCTTCACATGGAATCAGAGCACATACACTCCTGGCCTGTGGGCCCTCCTACTGCTTCCGCTGCCCTACGTTGTGTCGCACGCCCCGTGGTGCGTGGCCTCTTATTTTCATCCCGCCGCGCGCTCGGGGCGCGCGGCGGTTTTCTGCCCGCCGTGCGCCCCGAGGCGCGTGGCGGTTTACTGCTGTGGGGGAGCCAGCGCGCGCCCCGCCCGTCCGTCGCGGAGCCCTGGGGAGCACGTGCGGCCCCCCACGTTGCCCGTCGCGGCGCGCTGGGGAGCCCGTGAGCCCCCCTTCCGTCCGTCGCGACGCCCTTGGGAGCCCGCGAGCGCTCCGCCCGTCGGTCGCGACGCACAGGGGAGCCAGGTGGCGCCCTGCGTGGTCGCCGCGACGTCCTGGGGAGGCCGTGCGCGCCCCGTCAGCTCGTCGCGGCGCCCTCGGGAGGCCGCACGCGCCCCGCCAGGCAGTCGCGGCGCCCTGGGGAGCCGCGCGCGCCACGCCCCTTCCCTCGCCCCACCCGTCCGTTCTGGCGCCCTAGAGGCGCGCGCCTTCCCCCCCCTCTCCGTCCCCCGCGCTCCTGCCCCTATCCCACCCGTTTTAGGGTTTGGGGGTGAGGAGTGTGGGAGTGGTGGTTGTGGGGGTGTCCGTTGTGTGCGCCGTGCCCTTCTCCTCCTCCTCCTTTGTCTCCCACTGCTGCAGCTGTCGCTGAGGGGGGTGGATGAGTGGGAGACTGGGGTTTAGGGTTTTAGGGGGGTGCGTGGGAGTGGAGCTAGGGTTTGAGCAGTGGGTTTGTGTCGAGGGTGTGGGGCAGTTGGAGGAGGTTGTGTGGAGGTACCTGTCGTGTCGCCTGCAGCGCCTGTAGTCCGTCGCCCTTGCTTCGGTAGCCAGTGAGCCTGCTGCACCAGTCGCCAGTGGGTCCGTTGCTCCTGCCGCTCTTCTATAGCCGCCGAGCCATTTACTCCAGTAGTCCGTCGCCCTTGCTTCGGTAGCCTCTGAGTCAGCCGCTCCTGTGCCCGTGCCTCTGCAGCTTCAGTCGTTGCCTCCCATCTTCTCTACCTCCACAGCTCCTCCTCCTCCTCCTCACTTGCCCGCTGTGATTAGCTCTAGCTTTGCTTACCTTTGTGAACTCCTGCTCTATACCTGCTTGCTCATTGTACTGATTACACCCCACTTTGGCTATGGGGGTGTGTCAGAATGTTATTCTCTAGCCTATAGTGGGGTGCTCTATAGCGAGTACAACCCATCTAGGGTTTGCTATATGTATCCTCATTGCTGCTAGTAAAAGACCGCTCTTTTGCCTAACTTATCTTGCCTAGCTAGGGCTTACCTAGCTATGGCTCCTAACTCTACCTACTATCTTCACAAACCAGTGACACATTGCTGAGGAACCAACTCACTAAGCACCTGCGGAGAGAAGGTCTCTTGCTGCATCTGCTGCCGCCTCCGTGCAGTAAGCAGAAAGCCAAAGCCTCCACCACCTGGACAGGCTCGCTGAAGAACCCACTCGCGAAGCTGATGAGGGGTGGGGTCGTCCAGGAGAGGCAGTGACCGCCGCTATCCACCCCTATCCGCTGCAACTGCCGTGATAGTGGCCATGACAGGCAGTGACGGTCAGTAGTAGGTCCAGCACCTCCAACACCAGTAGCACCTATACTACTCCTAGTCGCACCTCCACCAGCAGTGGCAGCAGCACGAGCAGCAGCAGTAGCAGTAGCAGCAGGAGGGCGGCTCGGGCTGGGCGGCGCGGCTCGGCCTGGGCAGCGCTGCTCGGCAAGGCACAGCGCAGCAGTAGCAGCGTGTGCAGCACCAGCGCGCTGGGCAGCAAGGCGCGCTGGCGGTTCTTTTATTAATTAATTAATTTATTTATTTATTTAGGGTTGCGGGGCACGCTGGCGCGTTTAGCAGCGGGGCGCACTGGTGTGCTTTGCAGTGGGGCACGCTGGCGCGCTGGGCTGCGGGGCGCACTGGCGCGCTAGGCTGCGGGGCGTGCTGGCGTGCTTAGCAGCGGGGCGCGCTGGCGCGCTTGCTTGCAGGGCGCGCTGGGCTGCGGGGCTGCTCGCGAGCAGAAGGGGCGCGCAGAGCAGGGGCTGCTCGCGGGCAGCAGAGGCGCTCGGGTCAGGGGCTGCAGGTGGGCAGTGTTGAAACA